ACAGAGCAGGACCATTGGTGAATCCACCAGATCCATATGATGGAGATAGTTTTGCAAATAGTCATGACCAGTTCTTAGATAAAAATTTTCTGCACATACAGTTCTGTGTAGATTATATGTAACTGAAGTACTCAAAAAGAATTCTAGGCCTTTTCCCGAGGAAATTCTGTAAAGAGTTTTCTCCAATATACGGTGCCCGAAACAATTAGGGGATATAATGATTTTGGATATGAACTGCAGATGAAAAAATGTTTTGGTGACTGACAAATTATTGCACAAGCAAACAAAAAACGTGATTTCTCAGATAAAAATGAGTTTCATTAAGGAGTATGGATTCCTCTGACCAAAAACAATGTCATACATCTACAAGACATGGAGTCATTGAGGTTATCAATGAGGGACTGAAATATTCTCTTTCACTCCTGTTAAAGAGAACTTTCAAACTGCTGCATTGTTTCTGGGGGGGATAAGTAACTAGCAGTTCTCCCTAGAATGCCCCAAACATGTTCTTTTGGGTTCATATCTGGGAAACAGGCTGGCCAATCCATTCAAAGGAGTCCATCATCAAAAAGGAAATTGTTCACTAGCTGAGCACATTCAGGCATTATTATCTGTGAGAATGAATCCATGCCCTATTGTTACCGATTCAGCTCAGTCATATTGCTGAAACATCATATTCGCTGTTACAAAACGTTCAGTGCATGTCAGTTGTATTTAATCTCCTACAGAAAGAGTGCTGCAGGTGGCTTTTCACTACTTATGTAAAACGTGTAATTTTTGATATCACAGACAAAATTTCCATATTCCCAGCTTTGCAAATGTTTTAATTTTCCTTTTTAAGCTCTTTTATTTCATTTTTTAATAAAAATTACTGATTATGTGGTTATTTTGTACCAAACTCGCAACATCCCCTGATTTTTTTTTAGTATTGTGCATTGAAGCTGGTCTTAATAAGCTACTTAAAGAGTAGAAAAATCAACAAAAGAATATGGTTGAGGTAAATCAGAAACAGCTTTAGACAGGACATCTGTCGAACTACTTCCAACAGTGCGAAATTTGAGGTTAGATCCATTGTAATGGATCCACCTCATTCATTGCATTGGTTCTAGGTGCCACAATTATCAATCAATGCAGAGGATATACATGCATACAGATTTTCCATTATTTTATAATAGAATTAAATATAAAACTTTTTCCTATAGAATTTTGTATCTATGCTGAGAGATATAATTGAGTGCTCGCCCAATTCAAATTACCACATGCATATTTTGTAAAAGAACATTTTTCAGCCTTTCTTACTGTAGGAAAATCATGATTTTGTTTGCTATATGATTACTGTAAATGTGTAAGGTGCTAATTAAACTAACCTTTAAGTTTTACTTTCTCTTATTCTCATTTCAACTCAAGTCTGTCCAGAAAATGCATAACAGGTATCAAAGAAGATGCTGAGAGAGCAATTAATAAATAATTAAAAATCTCTTCTCTATAGATTTATGGCACGTTTTTAGCCTGATATTCATTGTAAAGAATGGCACAGCATTTTCTTGTATTCCATTTCAGAAGATACTGTGCTTGCAGTTAAGTTTATTCAAGTTTCTAGGAGTAACAAAGTCTAAACTGTTAAAGTGTTTGGTTAAAGTAGCTATCCATTTGACTGTTAGTGCTTGCTTTTAGTATTTAAGGTTTCCATTGTATTTATTAGTTGTTTGCAATTTATATCACATCTTTGATTTCTTATTTAAATTTTTGTAATTCTTTTTTGCCAGAGATTAGCAAACTGTAGGTTGAATTTAAATTTGATGTTTCTTTATTATAGTTAAGATGTGCATGATAGTCATGAACTACCAAGTAGTCTTGCATATTATTTGATATTTTTTAAGTTAAGAATATTGGAAAGATTACAGTTTGTTTTGTAAATATCTTAAGAAGAAAAATTATTAATTAGAAATATTGAAGTGACTCTAATTTAAATTAAAACTAATGTTCTTTTAAAGCATGATGAAGGTAAATTTATTTATTTTTAAGTGTAATTAAATAATTTATGTATAATTTATTAATTTTAAATAATCTCATTTGCCTTGATATTTATAAACTTTTACCCTGCCAACCAAATAAGGTGAACACTTTTTATTAAAAACTCAGTAATGATTCATGAAGCATGGAACCATCTATCATGACAAATGCATTACATAACATTTTAGGGAATAAGCTTGTTTGTACTTATTACGAATGAATGAGTATGTAGTAAGATTTTAGATTGAATGGTTGCTGGCCGTATTTCTAGCGATAACACTGATTTCATAAGCATAAACTTTTTTATCAGTTTTTTTTCCATCTGTTTATCAGTTCCTAAATCTGTAATCAGTTCCTGAAGTGAAAGCTGAAAAATGAATTGTTATCAATCAGTTCTTTTCCCAACTTTCATTTACTTTATAATAAAATATTTTGAGTCTGAAATTTTTTTTTAACATTGCTTCCTTGTTTAAAAACTGCAATGTTAACTATGAAAATCTTAGATCTTTATATAAAATTAATTTTACAAGCATGTTAAAATAATGCAGTAAATCATTTTTTTTAAGTAAATGTGATGCATTGTAAAGTAATATTTGTAGGCTATTCATAAAGTTTTTGTGTTAAAAGTTATGAAAAAATTATTGAGCTGCATTGTTAATTTACATAATCACATACATTACATAAATCTCTTTTCCATTTTTCTGTTTTAAGATATTATAAACATATACATTAAAGTGAATAAAAAGTTTTATATAATATAAATACAACATCTGTCCAGAAAGTTTGGTGAATATGTCTATAGTTACAATGGCTTGTTGTCGTATGTAAAACAGCTGTTACTGTCGTTTGAAGTAATCCTGTTGGTGGTAATGCACATCTGGGAATGGCTGTACAAGTCGTGCAAACTTCTGGTGTAATTGTCTTCTTTAGGGATGGCCTTCAGCTGGGGTCGTAGCATTACGTTGGATGTCCAAAAATCTCTGGCCCTTCAGGGCTGATTTCAGTTTGGAAAACAAGAAAAAGTTCGGGGAAAAAAAATCTGGAGAGTAGGTTGGGTGATTCAGGAATACAACTGCACTGTTGGCCAGGAAAGGTCGTGTGTGGGTGGACAACACTGTCATGGAGCAGGGTTCTATTGTGTTGCTTGGCATACTGGGGGCATAGACACTTGATCCATTGCAGACATTTCAGTATTTCTATGTATGTAGTGGCATTTAACATGGCACCCTCAGCAAGGAATTCTTTATAGATGAGTCACTCAGAGTCAAAGAACACTACAAGCATTGTCTTGATGCGGGATTTCTCATTTCGCACCTTCTTGCTTTTCAATGACCCTGGACCCTGCCACTCCGTACTTTCACTCTTGCCTTCGGGGTTGAGCCTCATTCACCAGGTCTTGTCACCCATGATGATGTCTATCAGGAAATTTGAGTTTTGATCCAGCATGTCGATGAGGTATCCACTGGCATTAAGCCGAAGTTGTATTTGTTCTGGCACCAGGATGTGGGGCATAAGTTGGAAACAAAGCTTGTGTTTACCCAAATTATGGGCCACTATGAGTGGGCCATCTCACAACTAGTTCCCACTTTTCTGCTATCATTTACACTGTCACGCGACGATTCTGGGCCAAAAGTTCCTTCACTTTCTGTACGTTTTCCGGGTACGGGCAACTGCAGGCCAGCCACTTCGATGGGAATCTTCAATAATGTCCCACTATTCTCAGAAGCATTTAAACCAGACACACACTTCAAGATGATGTACTTTCTTTGTAAACTTTTATCAGCATTTCACGAGTTACTTTTACTGATTTTACAAGTTTGAAACAGAGCAGCATATTCGTTCGCTGATCCTTTTAAAGTTTCAACTGCACATACAATATCTACACTCTAGGATGAGTTGTTTCCATGTGATAAATGCACTTGCAATGTTGCCGCTTGAGAACTGGTTCAGAACGGTATTGACCAGTCCAGTGCTGCGCACTCATATGACTGTGAGCACTGTGATATCACACACACACGTAAGGATTAAATACTTTCTGGACAGAGGTTTTATATGTATACACACACACACACATAAAGATTAAATTTCGCTGAAGAAATAAAAGGAAGTCTTTGATGATGAGGGCTTAGCTCCTGTGAGCCAGTTTAACGATCACAACAAATTTTTATATACAAGAATCAAAGTCCATATAAAAGTAAAATATATGAAAAAATTAGAAAGTTGCAAATGTGAGAATTTAAAATAAAATAAAATGTAATGCATATCATCAAACACGCACACATATTTTTTTTTTATTATTATTATTTATTTAAACCAATATGAAAATTAAAAAGACTATGAAACTGTACATACATATTATCAGGATGCAATACAGCGATACTATATAATTGTATTAAAAAATTTCTTTTATTGAGTATTTTTATTTACATTGCATATTTTGTTACTAATTTAATTGCTGCATTTGCAGATTTTTTAAAATTGTCAAACTAGTCCTAGGTGAGAAGAGCTGTCATTATTAAATACTTTCTTTGTATCTTCTGACTATATGCATTGCCATGAAGAGTCACCAACACATTGATGATTATATAATGATACAAAAATGTTTGTTTCCCTATCTTTACAGCTTCTAAATAATATTCTGCTTAGAAGTATTAGGAAAACTGCTCTTGGCAGGAGTGTTTAGTAACCAATGAAACAATGGTTATAGTGTGTAAATCCATGCACCCTCAGATATGTGTGTGTGGTAATAAAAAATCGTATGTTTACAAAGGTAGGGGAGAATTACGTGGAGGGGGAATATTTGAATAGATATGATAGTGCTCTTTAGTATATAATTACACATTCAAGTTAATTTGTGCTAGTTTTGCTTACTACTGACTACTGGTTTTATAAAACTTACAAGTCAAAATGATAAAGAATGTCCATTTCTAAGATTTTCAGTATTTTCTATTAATTATTGTTTCTTATTTTATTTGTTCATTTCCAAGATTCTTGGGAAAGGTTCATTTGGTACTGTAAGAAAAGGAAAGTGGCGTAATATAGATGTGGCAGTTAAAGTTATAGAAACAGAGCAAGAAAAAAAAGCTTTTATTGTGGAGGTTTGTATTGATGAAAATTATATTCAGTTGTGAACTATCTTATATCAAACGTACTCATTCATAAGTCTTTTTTTTTTTTTTTTTTTTTTTTTTTTTTTTTTCATTTTAGGTTCAGCAACTATCTAGAGTGAATCACCCTAATATTGTAAAATTATATGGAGCTTGTACAAAACAGCCAGTAAGTTTTAAAAAAAAATATTGGAATTCTTTTAGAGAATTCTTTTGCATCAATATTCTATCAAACAGCTTATTTTAATATTTTAAAATTATAAAACTTGTAATAAAATCCATTCTGATTTGGAATACTTGCTCATTGTCGTAAATTAAATAAATAATATTAAATGAGATTTAAAAAAGTTAGTACTGAAAACATAAATTGTAAATTAGCTGCATATTTGTTCATCTGATTTGTAATTAATGTTTCAATATATATCTATAATTAAAGTATAATTTTCTTAGTTTTATTTCTATTCTTCATGTGTGTATAAAATGTGATTTATTCCACAAAGGAGATCATGTATTTAAAAATATATATATAGGAAATGAAAAAATAAATATTGAATCATGTTTGTATGTATAGATATTTTGCCAGAATTTTTTTTTAATTCATTCACCAAATCTAATAAAATGCTCTGGAAAAGTTATAAAAAATACTAAATAATTTAAATAAAGCTAGACATCTTATCATTAAGTTTTGCAGTTTGTTTAGAAAAACCACCAAAGTTAAATTTTGTAAATTCAAAAGTTATTAATATGTGTCACACATTCATGCTCAAGACATTAAAAATAAAACTACTGGTGAAATAAGGAAAGGAATAAAAGCTGTTTTAGACTGGAAAAGTGTCTCGTGTATATATACATAATATGTTATGAATAAATTCATTACATAATGTGCTCTTGATAAAGCTGTGTTTTAAATGGCAATGTATCCTCAGTGCAGTGCAAGACAAAAATGATAGGTTGGGTTTCTTTTTTTCCCCATAATGTTAACTGATAAGCTTATTTGTGTTAATAATATGTATTGTCACTCTAGACAATTTTAATTTTAGAATGAGATTATGCGAATTTTTTTTTCCCACATTTATGTAAGGAAAATGTGTGATTATTCAGATTAAAAATGCGTTTTTTCATTATTTCTTTTTACACAGGTGTGTCTAATAATGGAATATGCTGAAGGTGGATCACTGTATGATGGTAATTAAAGTATTTCATTTTGTTGGAAAAAATTTTCTTAACTGCAGTTTGCATTTATTATATTGTTCTTTAATGCATTTACAAATAAAATTTTACTACGTACATCTGATTATAAGATAAATTGATTTCTTTCACTTTTGTAGTTGACATCTAAAACTTTGCTTTTCCAAATAGATAGCTGTTATGATAAAAAATGAGCTTAAAAAAATAGTGTTATTAATCTAAGAAAATGCGAGTTCTCTTTGTTTTCTGTTATGATAATTATATGTTACTTATGACAATTATATGTTAACTACATTTAATAAAGCCTGAAACTACAAAATTATTCTTTGCTTTATTTTAATTGAAGTAAAAATAATGTTATTTAATTTTTAAAAAAGAGAACAGCAGCCTTTAAAAAATTTTTTGTAATAATCTAACCAAATAAGAAGCAAATGATTCATATTTATTTAATTTAATAACATTTTTCATTGATTATAAATGGAAATAGCTGAAAGATATTTTTAGATTTCGCTAATGTATAATCAGCTTTAAAAGTGAATAATATAAGATACCTGAAATTTTTTAGCTTTGCTGGAAAGGTAATGAAATGGTAAGATTCTTAAAACGTTTGCCTTTTTTAAGATTCGACAACATCTGGTCTTAGTATCATAGCATTTTATTTGTAACTATTCAAAACAGGGCTGTGGAGTCGGAATCAGAGTCCGGCGGCAGATTTTAGGGTAAAAAGAGTCGGGGCTGGAGTCGCTAAAAACAGGTTGACTGTGACTCCAGTTTTTGTTGGACAGTTTGAATTTGAAATGAAAGTAAAATTAATTGAAAAAAAATTAATGACAAGCTGAGTTATTATTTTTATTTATGAACTATATACATTAATGAATAGTTATCTTCTATTTTATTGACATATTAATAAATAAATATAAAGGAGGAGGATAGATGTGATAATTGCCATTAGTAATTAAACTGATTCATTTAGTTACAAATTTCACTGGTAAATTTAGGTAAGCAACTATAGCAGCAAGAACTCCTAAAATTGATGCCATTCTTATTAAGCGAGCAGGAAAAGGAGCCATTATTGATCAGCAGTGTGATAAAGAAGTACATATTCAATGATAAAGACATTGTTAGAATTAAGAACTTTTTTAGAAGATGTAGATAACCCTAATGTTTCACTAACGGAAAGACTGTGGAATGATCTTGCAAAATTGGAAACTCTTCTTTCTACACCCTATATAGCCACAAAAAAAAGCTACAATCTGAAGAATTGATAGGAGGCGAGAATAGAAGAATGGGATGTTTGTTCTTTCTGAAATGGAGGATTTATTGCAGATGGAATCATTCCTTCAATGAAGAAAAGAGAAACTAGTTTGCAAGACAAGGAGATCGTGCTGTGTTCAATATATGTAGATCCGAAACACCTGAAATTTTCTTGGATGACGAACAAATTAAAAAGGCAAAGAAAGCCATCTATGAACTTTCATTAAGAATGAAATTATTCTTAGAACAATTGGAGAATTCAAATCGGGACAGTCAAACTGCAGACATTTTAATTGAGTCTCTATCATCCTCTTCCAATGATGAATTAGATTTTGATAAATATTTTTGGATAATATTGAAAAGGCTAAGACAAAGCGAATGAAAATAAAGAACCAAGAGCCTTTAGACGTAAAAATGAAAAAATACAAACAAAATTTCTACACGGTCTTTGAAGAAATAGAGAAATATTATTGCACTTGCAAGACACCTATTTTAGAAAATCTATCCTGAAAAGTTAAAAGAAGTAGCCCTAATAGTAAGAGCTCTTCTTCCTACTCAAGTTAGTGTGGAAAGACTCTTCTCAGGTTATTAAATTGGATCTATGGCCCTCCAACAAAGAAGATCTTGCCAAAGCTATACTGTTTCTTAGAAATAATTAATGCAAGTTTTTCCATTTCTTAATAAATGCTAATTAATGTAAATAATTTGCTATGTTTCCTGTAGCATCTATTACTTCTTTTATGTTAAAAAAATAAGCTGTAACCCATGTGTATATGTTTACATATATATACATGAGGAAATCGGAGTCTTTAAAATTCCAGGAGTCAGAGTCAGACATTTTCCCTACCAACTCCACAGCCCCGATTCAAAATATGCCTCTGATGACAGAGTTAAGATCTGAAATTTTGGGATAACTCTTTATTAAACAAATAATCACAAAAATGAGTTTAAATTCAGAAAATCTTAAGGCTAATTATTTGTTTTCTTTATAAGTATGTTCATTGATCCAGAATATGATTCAGAAAGTCATTAACAATGATACTGCAAAATTTGTTGTTGATACAAAAAAGAATTTTGCAAAATACCAGTACTCGCTAGTCATACTAATACCAGTGGAAATGTTGTTTTTAAAAAAAGATTTTCATACAAATAGGTTGGTTTAGCAGTAGCAGATATGCATTTTTAATATCCCAAAGTCAGCAATTGTAACAAGTGATGTAATTACAGTGCAATGTAATAGAAATGACCTTTTTTAGAGAATTAGATTTTTGAGTTAAAAAAAAGTATTATTTGCTATATTCATACCAGAATGATTAATATAAATTCATAAAATAAGACACAGAATTATTCATATTAACATCAGAATTTATTTACGTGAGTTAATTAGGAATGCAGAAACTATTACAGCACTTCTGGAAACAATAACAGTAGCTCTGAAAAGCGTACTTCCAAACACCAAGTCGAATACAAGAAGACTTCGATGCCCATTCATTTCTCCTCCAAGTGAGCTGCGTCACATGCTCTCCTCTCCTGTCTTCATCTGCTGCACCCCTCCATATGTAATTTGATGACCTTTGCAACGCCTTTGTTGAAAATCAAGGGCTAGGGACTGAAAATATAAGGCTTACTTTTTATTTTATATTGTGAGTTTATAGAAATGTGACTATAATTATCAAATATTACACAGGGCAAGGTCAGTTTTAATTGTCTGTGAAGATCCATCCGATAGGAAATATGTGAATTATGTGTCATTATATACAGTCAACTATACTATTGTTTTCAAGATTTTCATATTAATTGAACAGATTATAAAGTTTTGGCAGTGGGCAAAGGAGATGCAGAAATTGTACATGAAGTAACCGAAGAGGTTACAAGCAACGATGAACTAGACATAGATGGTCTTCATCCTTTCTCTGTTACAAGTCACTGCTACACTATAATCTCCAACAACTTGGCATGAATCATTATTACTGGTTCTCCACTGTGCTTTTGTTTTCCCAGTTTTGGAAGAATAAACTGCAGTGTACATGCACGTACCACCGAAAGTCTGTGTGCATTGAATCATTTCCATTTTGTGCTCAGATCACTATTGAAATTTCACTGAAAAAATCACACCTTTCTGTGATCCTTGAACTTAACCTTGTTCAAACAGAAAAAAAAAAAACAAGAATCACCGTGAAACAGTCGCCAGTCACCTTCGCCTAAGTCAGAATCCACTTAAAATGAGTGCATTTAAAGACATTTTACTGTGAGATAATTCCACCAAGTTACTTTTTTAGTAATTGTAAGCCTCTATTACTAAATAAATTTTGAATACTTGTACTTGATTTAAATTAAATAGGACTTGAGATTTTAAATACTGGTGGGATTTCATGTCAGGAACAGAAAGGAGATCAGAATTGCTTAAAGAAAGATCATTGTAGATCTTTGGAAAAGAAGGAGATTTCTTAGAGCAGTTGCTGAAACTGTTAATAGGAGACATTCGTTGATGAAAAAAGTGATCATGAATTACAAATCAACAATGTACTTGGGGTTTACGTACTTAGCTACATGATTTCAGTCCCGTAGATTTGTTCCTGGAACTCTATGAAGCAGCATGAAAATTTATGATTAAACTTTGATAAAAATGCATTTGTTGATTGAAGTTAATGCGATTATTGAGCAGTGTTACTCGTACTGACTATGTTTTAAAGAATAATATTCTGGAATGTTTTTAATTCAATGAGATAGAACATTTCTGAATGCCGTCCTATCAGAGAAAATATAGGACAAATATCAGAGGACTTTGAAAGTTCATGTTAAATGGAAGAAATCTAATGACACAACAGACTGAAAAACGATTCGTAATGACCCCGAATACCAGTATACATGGTGAGGCTATGGCTACTCTACCATATGTCAAACTATTACTCCAATACCCAGACCTAAACCCAAAGAGTATTTGTGGAATTTACTGGAATAGAGAAACAGGGAGCATGAAATAACATCTAAAGAAATGCTTAGATATATAATATAATAATGGAACAAATTATTATGAAAATAATTACAGAAATGACCTCCAAACTGGTTGAATCCATGCCAAATAGGTTGTGAGAGATTATAAAAAGGAAAGGATGCTTCACAAAGTATTATTTTTTAGTTACAATCAGTTTTTATAAATGTTTTTGTTAGTGTACATAGACTTTTGATGCACACACTTCGTCTCATTCTTTAAGCTTTGAATATTTGGATAATTTTATGTAACACTTAGGTGATTGTTGCTTGTACCATAAGATGTTTGAGGAATCAATGAAAGTTGTATTGATTCAGAAAAGTTCTGTTTACATAGTGATCCTTGCAGGATAGGTTACTTGTATGCAGACTTTTGATAGTAAATGTATATTATTTTTGTTTATATGATTTGATCTTACAAATCGAAATCGTAAACCTCTTAAGTAAGGATAAATCCTTTAAGTTCCTTTTCCTTTTAATTAAAAAAGAAATTATTAAATTTGAAAGAAAAAAAACTTTTCAATTGGGTTCTAAAAACACTGTGACAGTTGGTCCACAACTTGGGAATATTCATATGTGTGTATGCAAAAAATAAATGCAAAATTTTTTTATATTTTATTCATAACAGCTCATGTATTTGTATGTGATAAATGTAGATTTTTCTTGTAATTTTTTTATATATAATAAAGTAAATATTTTAAATAACTTTGTTATTAAAAATAGAATTAGCCAGAAATAGAGTGTAAGATTTTTCTTTTCAATTCTATGTATGCACTTGAAATATAACACTCATTTATTATAGAACAGATTTCTTTGGAAATATTAGCCATATTTTGCTTAATATTTCATTAATTTTAATCTTAAAATTTTGTATTAATATGTTGCTTGTACCATAAGATGTTTGAGGAATCAATAAAAGTTGTATTTAGTTAGAAAAACTCTGTTTAAATAGTGATCATTGCATGATAGGTCACTTGTATGCAGATTTTTTATAGTAAGTGTATATTATTTCTGTTTATATGATTCTGTATACATACCATATTACAGCCTGTACTGCAGTGGGGAAAAAAAAAAAACTATTATAGGGTAAAACACAAAAAGGGAACAACTCCGCTGCCTGCTATGAGCCTTCACTATTGTGATTCTCTATTGAAGGTAGTACATCTGCCTAAACTCCTTCAGAATTTTTTTTTAAACCTATGTGATCTGATCATGGATTTTGTAATCTCTATGATAGCCTACAGTTGTCATAACAATGATGCAGGAGAGACAAACTAGCATCAATCTGATATTTTACCTGCCACTTTGTATAAATGCCAAAAATACTGGATAGATTAAAAAAACAACTTGTGAACATTAAAGTGTGATGATATTATGGTTTAAAGAAGGATTAAAAAGTTTGAATGAAAATGTATAATGAGAAAGATAAAATGGTGTAAAAACCTCTGAAATGTAGAAAAATGAGGAGATAAATATTAGGGGGGAAGGAGAAATGCATACCGTCTCCTCCCGAAAAGAATCAAAACAACAGAGTTAGTTGATTTCTTCAGGAAAACACACAGTGTAGAATGGAATTCAATAAAAATAATTATATTTCCATTTGAGGTATTTGTTGGTTGGTTGGACATAAATTTATATGAGTTTGTTAGTTATGTATAATTTATTTTCTGTGATGGTGGTATCATTTCTGTATTGAGAATATTTAATTAATTTACAGCTATTTTATCATTTAGCGTGATTGTAAGATGCTGTTTTTTCTATTTCTTTATATTTAAAGTTCTTCATGTTATGAAACAAGTTCAGTATACAGCAGCACATGCCATCAGTTGGCTCCTTCAGACAGCCAATGGTGTTGCATATCTTCATAATATGAAACCACGTCCTCTTATCCATCGAGATCTTAAGCCTCCCAAGTAAGGATAAATTCTTTAAGTTCTTTTCCTCTTAATTAAAAGAGAAATTATTAAATTTTTTAAAAAAACTTTTCTATTGAGTTCTAAAAACAGTTGGACCACAACTTGGGAATATTCATATGTATGTATGCAAAAAATAAATGCAATTTTTTTTATATATATATTTTATTCATAACAGCTCATGTATCTGTGTGTGATAAATGTAGATTTTCTTGTAATTTTTTATATATAATAAAGTAAATATTTAAATAACTTTGTTATTAAAAAAATGAATTAGCCAGAAATATGTTCTTTTAGAAATAGAGTGCAAGATTTTTCTTTTCAATTTTATGTATGCACTCTAAATATAACATTCATTTATTACTGAACACATTTATTTGGGAATGTAGCCATATTCTGCTTAATATTTCTTAATTTTAGTGTTAAAATTTGTATTAATATGAAATATAAACAAATCAATGATTCAAGTTTTTTTGTTTAAATCTAAATAACACAAATTCATTATCTCAAAATGGTTAAAAAACAAGCTTGTTACAATTTTAAAATCCAAATCCCTCATGTTTATCCAAATTTAGTATACTGATTATACAGTTAAAGTCTTTAATCCAGATTCGTCGGGACTTCGGCGATTCCGGATTATAGATCATCAGTTTAAATCTGGTAAGATGGCATGCAGAAATTATAAAATTAAAAATATGAAACCGCAATTTATGAAATAAAGAGCAATTATGATCTAAAGGGTATCAAAATTTACAAAAAAAAAGTTTAATATGTATTTGTTTACTTTATTAAACATTTCTTTCAATGCGCACATGCATAAAGCATACATTACACATAGTCGACATTAGAAAATTGCAACCAGAAAACTATTAAATGTGTATTCGTGATATTTATAATGACGAGGAATTTCATTTAAATCATATCAAAGACGGAGTACATCGAGATGAAATACTACATTTAGTAAGGAATTATAAGCTGAATAAAATAAAAACATCTGCCCTGAAGATAAGGATAGTGCTGACAGATCAACTTCCAGTTCATTGCGCACCGCGTCGTCCCCCCCCCCTCAGAGCCACGTGAAATTGATAAACAGATTTCGGAATGGTTAGAGAAACAAAGGATATGCCTTTATCCATTTTTTGCAGCAATTCCACTTTTTGTTTGATGGACATCAAAACACGCCTTCGCTTTGTAGATCCTTCGGCAGCTCCAGAATTGGAAATTCTTTTTGACATAATCGAAAGTTCAAGCTTACTTTTATAAAATTGCTCTAACAGGCTGCAAAAAATAATAAGCTGGATCCAATTCGAAGATTAAGGAACAATGCAATCTGCAACATTAACTGAAATAGATAATTAGATAATTTAGCTTAGCTTATACCGTCCGTTATACATTAAACGCGCATGCGTAAATGTATTATGCGCATGCGTAAAAATGCATATGTGCATGCGCAGAAAGTTTGTAGCTTTGAGGTCCGGATTATAGATCATTTCCATCCGGATTAAAGACTTTTGACTGTATATGTAATTAATTTCTAACATGTGTCATATAGCATTGAATAAAAGAGTATATTTTCCTTCCTTAAAATGTATTTCTGAAAAACATATCTGTTTCGCATAAATAACCTAACATTTTTAAAATGCATATAATAAATATAATATATCATTTAATTTTGTCTGGAGTTAAAATCCCAGCAAACGCTCCATGGGGATTTGCATGATTTTCTTTTTGTGTACGAGCCAATTTCCCTCATGAAGTCCTCGATGAGGGCATCCTTTCCCTTAAGCAGATAGCCTTCAAGTGCTTTGTCATAATTAAAATAGCTAATCATCGTTTAATTTTTGTATTGAAAGATAATGTACTTACATTCTTCAAGGAACTAGAAGTTTAAAGATTGAATATAGTTCATCCAATTCACTATCTAATAGATAAAAACATGGATAAAGTGCAGGAAATCATTATTTTATTTATTTATTTATTTTTAATAACAGTGAATCCTTTGAACATAATTCAAACTGAGATAAATCTGAATTGTGTAGGCATTTTGTTCAAGAGGTCAAGAAAAATTCTTCCACAGATGTTTTAAGGTGCTGAGCCTTTAAGACTGCTGGCACTGAATGTCCAGAGTGTGAGTAGTTATACATGTATATGGATGTGTCATATTCTGATGTCTGTATGATAGCAAGCTTGGAAGTTTTTCTGAGTCTTTTCTGTTTTTATGCTTTTGCAGGTAAACATAGATGATTTTCAGTGAAGAGATAGAGGCCATTCAGATTGCATTAAAACAAGTATTGTTTAAAGCATAAATTTGAGAAAGTGTGGGGGAGGGGGCAATTCATTGGCAGCAGTCTAGATTTTAAGCTCAGTAGTGGCTGGTACATTAACTAAAATTATCACTGCTAGGACTTTCTTCAGCTTTTGAAACTGAAAGATAAATAGTTTATGTTACAATTGGATTCCTAAGCATAATAGTATTTTTGCAAATGGGAAAAATATAGCAGTGTAAAATTAAAATGAGAAATAATCTTCTTTGTATTATAACTGCTCTGCAGTCATCTTAGCTATTAATTTAATTATGTACATTGCTAATTTTTACTTTTCCTAATTTACAGTCTGTAAGTCCAAAAATTTGTATTCTTATTTAGCAACTGCATGTTACAAGTATGAATATTACAGAGATAAAAGACATAAATAAGACAGATTTTATCACATAATTTAGCATGCATAACTTTCCTTCCATCCATTTTATTTATTATTTATTTCAAAATCATTTGTTATTGCAAGTTGTTTTTTAACTTTAAAAGCATGATGTACAGTATTCACATAATATTCTCTTAAAACTATGAAACTCTGAAATGTATACATTTATAATATTTGCCCTGAATTAAATGCTAATAACCATTTTAACAGAACATTGCCTGTTCTTTGGTCTCAAAATCTGCAGCTTTATGTAATAAATTGCATTTTTAAACTTGCTACATCCATTTTAATATTTGCTTTAGCACATGCAAAGATCATATTACATTGTTATTGGCTTATTTTTTGTTATTTAAGCTCTGATAATTAAGTGGTTGGTATTATTAATGTAGTATTTCTTTCAGGTTTGATCTTTTTATCATTTAAAAAATATAGTTGAATCAAATCTAAAATTTCAAATAATAAAAAAAAAAAAAAAAAATCATTTACTTTGAATTTGTTTGTGTAAAATGCAATACAGTCTTATTTAACTTTATGAAGCCTTAGAATCACTAATTCATCTTTTGATATTAAAAATTAGGGTAATAAATAAAAACTATCCCAAGTTTCTTTGTTGTTATGCTGGCACTATATTTAAACTGCCATGTCTCATGCAAAGTTTTAATTAATAATCAATTAAAACTTTGCATGAGACATGGCAGTTTCAATTAAAACTTTGCATGAGACATGGCAGTTTAAATATAGTGTCAGCGTAACAACAACGCATGTAAAGTTTTATTTAATAATCAATTCTGACTTTATGAATTACTGCTTTAGGAATTTCTGTTGGAAACAAATTAGTTCATAAAAGTGTAATTTTCATGTATATTGTGTATGTTATTGAACCTTTTCAGTCCTAATGGGCACATATGTCCCAGAGATTAGATTTCATTCCCTATTGGGCAAACAAAACCCACCTTAAAATGGGTTTTTACATTTGCAAGTGTTTTTAAGGAATTAGGGAACAAATATATGACTAAAGAAACTTGGCCTATTTTCGCCAAATGTGTCAAGTTGCACTTTGTAAAGACTGCTTTACACCATATCATACTTAACTTGTACTGTAAGCATAAAATATTTGGTACATTTCATTCAACTTTATTACTTATTCACATGCATTGTTCATGCCTTCTATCATGTTTTATTTATTTTTGGCAGCCTTTTATTAGTAAATGGTGGTACTGTATTGAAAATATGTGATTTTGGCACTGCATGTGATAAGCACACAAATATGACTAATAGTAAAGGTAGTGCTGCTTGGATGGCTCCAGAAGTGTTTGAAGGTATTAAATTTTTGTATTAATATTTTTTAGTGTGCAATTTTTTTAAGAAGTTCTTATGTTAGTTTTACATTATTAATCTTATATTTGGATTTATTCTGGACTGAGGAATGTTAGATTATCCCTCTCTTTTATTTATTTATGCATCTTTATGTTAACAAGCGATCATTTGTGAAACAGAATTGTGCATTTTTATAAGTAGTAACTGCTACCTTACTAGAAGTATTAAAAAAAAAGTCTTTTAAAAAACTGTGCTTAGCAGCTGTGTTCTGTACATCTGAACTTCTAACTGAGTTATACAGCTGGTGTAAATTAATCAGGCATTTGAGCAGAAAAAAAAATGATTTTTTTTTTTCAACTCACCTCTGGTAACCCTAGAAATGCCAAGATGCGTGCGTGTCAATCACGCCCAATTACTGTATCTTATGATTCTTTTGCTCTTTATTCTTATTAAGCTTTCATACGTGCTTGTATACAACATTAATGTATCTATCGTTATATATTATTTTAGTTACAGTCATTAGTGTTTAAATCTGCATCCTATTATTAATGGATAGATCCCTCACACCAACAAAATTTGGGAGACTTAACCACACTGCTGGGTGCGAAAAAGGTTAGCTAAATTTTGCTATCTTTTTTTTCCTTCAGCTGCGATATCCCCCTTTTTATCTCTACATGTAATAAAACAAAGAGTCTGTCTGTATGTGTGTGTGTGTGTGTGTGTCTTTCATTCGCGCTGCGCGTAAGCTAATAGACCCACGGCTACGAAATTTGGTACATAGGTGCATCTAGACAAGAGCCAGTGCACCTCGAAGCAATTTTTTCGAAATTCAAATTAGGATTTTTTTATTTTATGTATTGTGATGAAATCGCATCATTTTGAGACATAATGGGCTATAGGAAGGCGAGATTTTACTCTGCACACTCCATTTTCACATCGTCATGAAACGTAGGCACTTAGCTATTTTACGAACTTAAAATAAATTTCGTGTTTCAATAAATCGATTAAATACGAATTTATTTAACAACGTGAGCTTAACACCTTTTCAACGGAATTTTTTCTAAAAAAACTTTTTTTTAAAAATGTACAGTTTATTTTTCTTTGATTTTTGGACACGTTAAACTTTCATCCTTGTGACTGCTTTTAAAAAGAGAATTTTAGAAAAATGATAATATTTTGTATTTTTAAAAGATTTTTTAAATGAAGCTTCCGAGTACACTTTTCACATCTCACATCTTTAAAAATGTGATTTTGGCAACAATTTTCCTTATTGTTGTTGATAGATTTTTAATGAAATTGCATCATTTTAAATAGTTTCATTCTTTTAGAAATATGGGTTTGGCAACATTTTTCATCGTATTTCTAATGTCACTGTTTTTAAGAGATTAGCATATTTCATTGTCATTTTTACATACATATAATACATTTTTTTATTTATTTATTTTATTTTTTTTATAAAGTTGTTCTGCAGAGTAAAATTCTGTGCGGAATTTTCTGGTTTTTTGAGTTGCTTTCATGTTATTTGTTTGCTTATTTCACTGTTTGTAAGATATTGAAAAGTTTTGCATGATTTTTTTTTTCAACGGAAAGTTGGTTAAATTTTTTATTAGGATAATTAATATTTGTATTAAGAGATATAGCTTATTTCATTGTAATTTTTTTCTCTTGAAAATATGAGATAAAATGTCATTAATTATACTTCTCTTTTCAGAATTTTTTTGTTTTTTGTATTCTTTTATGTTATTTATTGCTTATTTCACTGCTTTTAAGATATTGAAAAGTTTTGAGTGATTTTTCTAGGAAACAATGTTTTTAAGATATTGAAAAGTTTTGAGTGATTTTTTTTAGGAAACAAAGTTCTTAACCTCCTTTATACCATTTGAGTTCTTAAGATTTTGCAAGGGGAATTTGGTTAATTTATTTATTAGGGTAACTAATATTTGTATTAAGGGATATTGCTTATTTCATTGTAATTTTGGTATACGTAATAACTTTTTTTTTTTTTTTTTTTTTTTGTGAAGTTGTTCTGCAGAGTAAAATTCTATGCAGTTTTTAAATTATTTGTTTGGTGTTTCCTTCAGCCATTTTTCAGGTACATTTAAAAGCCAGACGAAGGCTGGCAGCGAAGCTGCTAATATTCACATAAGTTTCATCCCCCCTGACAGATAATCTTTCAGTCCGAGCAGGGAAAATAATAATTTCTATGTGGAAAGCAAAAGTAAATATTTTAATATTTAATGTAGGTAAAATTGTTAAATTTGCAAATAATCGTATGAAGAAAAATTATCAAGAGCTGTTAATTTAAGTAAGACTAAAATATTTTTCTAAGACTATAATGCAATAATAAATGTTTTAATATGTATAGATAAATATGAAATATTAATCTTTGAATCACATTGTGAAGAAAAAGAATTGGATATAGAAACTAATGATGCAACTAAAACAGTTTTAGTGAGTTATCTGTCATAGTCCAGATTTAGTTATTTTTTTGTTATTAGTATTATATATTGAAAGAGATAAGTTTAAACAATGATAAAATTATATACTAGGTTAATAATATTTTTTTATTGTAAAGTGTTTAGATCAAAAATTCCTTATTCTGCTGAAACACAAAACCAAAGCATGCCCTCTTCTTCTCCCTTACATATTTGTCAGAATTGGTTATTCTGTTATGTCCAAATACATTCTTTCAATTTCAAGTTTAAATTAATTTAAACTTTTATTTATTTCTACCTGTACTGAAAAACCCCATTACAGTTTATTAGAAATATGCAAAATAAATTTTTTAAAAAATTTCGTTGGTCTTTTTGCAGAGAAACATTCCAGTTTTTTAATTGTTCCTCATCCCATTAAAAGATCATTTAGAAGATAACCTACTTCTGCAATAAAAATTATAAAAATTGTATGATTTTGAGATCAATGTTTCTGTGTTAATCTATCTGATAAATAATATGGGATCAGTATAAGTTTGGTAAGGCACCCCATGTTATCTCCAGAATCTTCCTAAATGTACTATAGCTTTCAGCTAGTTTACTTTCAAAGTCTGATAGTTAAGACTTTTTCTCATCTGTAAGAGCATCACATCATCTGATTTCATTCATATATTATGTAGTCTGTTGTCAATGAAAATAGCTAAGACTTTTTCTCATCTGTAAGAACATCACATCGTCTGATTTCATTCATATATTATGTTTGCTTCATAGAAGCAGTAAATGCAAAATGTGTGTGATAAATATGAAGAAATTCTGAAGCTTACAAGCTTATTTTTATTATTAAAGAATCATCTGTTTTAGAAAGCTAATCAGGAACATTGAGCCATTATCATGGGACCCGTCAATGGCATGCCCTGACTGCAATGCTGTCTGGCCCATTCAATCATCACTTTATCATGATTGTAACTTCTAGCATAATGAATAATTTTTCAGTTATTCATTGTAAGTGTGGTGTCAGAATTCATGAAAAATTCCATTTTTTTAATGCCATATACAATTGACTTTCGAATGCCATACTCCTCTTATACTTTTTAAACAGATATACCTTTATCCATTTTTTGCAGCTATTCCACTTTTTGTTTAATGGACTTCGAAACATGTTTTTGCTTCGTAGATCCTGCTGCAGCTCCAGAATTAGAAACTCTTTTCGACATAATCAAAAGCTCAAACTTCATTTATCATAAAAGTGCTGTAATAATAACAGCTTGCAAAAATAAAAAATAATAATAATAATAATAATAAAGTAATAAGCTGGATCAAATTAGAAAGTTAAGGAACAGTGCAGTCTGCTATATTAACTGAAATTCCTTGAAATTAGTAAAGTATAATTTTAGCTTAGCCTTATAGCATCCACTATACATTATTGGCTATGTATCATGAGATTGGCGACGCAACACCAGTTCTTCCGCTAAATTTTGTGTTTCTTCTATTGCACACTGAGACAATTAACTTTATTAGTTTAGCTATTTATTATACTTATGTCTATTTCTTGTATATGCTTAAGGCTTATCCAAGTCCTGAATAAATAAATTCCCACATATACTTAATGCTTATCGAGGGCTGCCACTAGCTATCTTACTCCCTGGTACAGTCTCTGCAGGTCCTAAATTCTGCTACCAAGCACCTCCGTTAGTTATACATTTTTGCCGCCCTTAAAGTTTGGGTCCCAATGCTTTCATTAATTCTAAAAATTTGGTCATCCCTTAATTTTGTTGCTCAGTGCTTCTCTAAATTCCAAAAATGCTGTCTTCCCTAAATTCTGTCGTCTGGTGCCGCCATATGAGTTCTGGCATTGGTTCTAGGTTTGTGTGAATAACAAATTAGTTATTATTAATTCAAGTAGCACTAAATGTAATCTTTTAGCCTATGAGTATCATTAAAAAAATCTATTTTTAGCATATGGAAAGTAATTTTTGTTAAATTTTTCCTGGTCAACATTTTTAGCACATTTAACTTAAATCTGTAATCATCCCCAAGCATAATGTCAATGTAAAAGGTTACCATACTCTTTGTTATTCAGTTACTGTTATAAAAACAAAAAAATTGTTAGGGTATTGCTGCATGAGTCATTACTCAAGTTGTCATGTGTTGATAAACATGCAATGATGAAAGCAAAATATAAGAAATAATGATTTGCCAGGTGGGTGTCAGGGAAATAAAAAATTATTAGTAGGTGTAATATCAACGATGTTTCAACATAGAATGTTTCAGTTTGAGATGTATGCCAAGCAGATGCACAGCTATAGAGCCAAGTAATTGATGACACAAATTTATGCTAAAGTTATTGTTTCTTCAATAATGGGGTATCTTATTTCGTGCCTAAGTGAAATTAAGAATCGGGTTTGAGGCACGGATTTTCATTCATTTTGGATATTGGACGTCCACATCTCGGACTTTGTACTGTATCAATATTGTTTTAATATATTTCACTAGATAGCTTTTCCAAAATGTGAGTCATGGTTTCCAACATATTCTGTGTAGAAATGTGATATGTGATTTTCATTCTGTCATTGTGCATGGGAATGTAACATCATTAAAAACAGCGCTGGAAATCACTGTCACTTATTTATATTCAGGCTTATATGAGCTTGATGTTCTAAATAAAATTTCTTTGCACCATTTTTTATTAGTATTCAAAATTGTTTATTAATGTTACTGTCTAGGTTTTCTGATGAGCATAGTGCAGTTTTTCTAAGCATGACATCCTGTGCATTCTTATAAGAAACACCAACAAGCAAAATCGGGTGGATGAGACTATAAAATCATTTTTAAAGTGAGATGCATGTATTTTGCAGCAGAACATAAACAATCATTCGGCTCAAATGCACATCTGTTAAACATTCCCTATTCTGAATACCATGCATTTGGCAAGGCACAAGTGCCCATCAGTGATTTAGTGAATAAGACAGCTGAATTTTGATCAAATCTTGTAAACACACTAGCTGCATGGGCATTTATGTAATGTATAATCATGCATTATCTAAATATGAACCAATTCCTCTTAGAAAATTTTCCATAAAGGCATCTGCCTTTTATGCATATAGCCCGTTTATGCTTCTCATTAATCTGTTTACATAATCTATTCTTAATAAGACTCAAGCTCATTTGAAAATTATCTTTTTGTGGGTAGGGAGAGGAAAGATATAGGATCTGTCTTTGTAGATACTAGTGAAATAGTTTGGGTAAATAAATTTGCTGCTAATTTGCAATAAATAGCTTACTTATAAAATGATTTGCAATTGCAGCATCCATCCAGCTTCAGTTAATTCAATCCAGCTTCAGTTAATTCTGAAGTGATTTTGGTTTATCACAAAATGCTTCTTTAATGAATATGTGTTGACCCATATTCCTGTATTTTCACTTTTTGCTAAAAATTATCACAGTGTGTAACATGAAAGTGTAATTTTTCTTTGTCATTTTAAGGATATAAGTCACCATACTAAGAATGAAATAACAGATATGTAATTTTGTATGTTGTTTCGTGTATAAAATTATTAATAAATTACCATATAATATGTTGTTTTATATGCACATTTGAGAAGGGAAAAAATTATGCATTTTAGGTTCCCAGTATAGTGAAAAATGTGATATATTCAGTTGGTCTATAATCTTGTGGGAAGTTCTGACCCGACAAAAGCCTTTTCATGATGGTGAGCGTGCTACTGCATTCTGCATCATGTGGGCTGTCCATAATGGTATAGTATTTTTACTTACTTTTATTAGTTAAAATAATCATAATGATGACGTGCATAAATTGCAATTGCATACTTGTGGTTCTGACATAAAGTAATCAGTTATTGATGAAGAAAAAAATTAAATTAATAACACAATGAACATATGATATAACAAAAGAATATTGAAACTCTACCTAATGTGAACTGAGAGGGTGACAAGTTGCCGAAATATTGAGTTTGATGAAAGAAGGAGTGGGTTATTCACAACTCATATTATTTCATCCAGCACCTTAATCCATGGCAATTTTATTAATATTTCAATTCCTTGTCCAGCCTCTTAAGGCATCCAGTTTCATTTCCATTATCATGTTAATTTCTTTTCTTTTCTTCTCATTCAACATCTCCACTAGCATATACAACACAATACAGCACTTTTAATCTTGGGTATAAACTGAAACATTTTACCCAGAACGAATTAACAGTTTAATTCACAGTAGGATTCAGCTATAAGCTTTTAGCAAGTGTACTAATGACTAGCAACAGAAAGGAATATGAGTTTAATCAACAGCAGCTACCTGACTTTCTTCAGCCACTTTGAAAGAAGGAATGAGCTGAATCAGAATTTCCTGTAAAAGAACAAAACCTGTCCTCAGACTTGCTAAATGGGTTTTAAGAAATAGTCTTGCAAAGGGAAAGGGGCAAAAATTGCAAAATTAGAATACTGTAAAAAAATCTTTGAATCTAACAGGAAAATGTACAGACATTCATATGGATAAATATGTATTGTAATACCAACAATATGTTAATTAAAATGTACTTGAACTGTTTAGGCAATGTTCAAAATTATTACAGTCTATCTTAGTGGTTCTCATTCCCCCCCCACGCATCCCTTTCACCATTTCTAAACAATAATCTCCCACCTTCTTTCCAAAACTCTAAAAATACATATACATTTATAGTTAGATACCTTATATATATATATATATATATATATATATATAAACTAAACAAGGAAAAGTATAGAAACCATTGATAAGGATCAAATCTTGAATAAAAGTTTTTCATATTCATAAATTAAAAGTAAATACTTAATTTGTAAATAAAAGTCTAATTGCATCACTCCCTCCTGAAACTATGAAATATCCCCTGGAGGGTCTCTTCTAATTGAAAATCCTGGTTAACCAGCAGAAATCATTTAGCAATTTAAAAAAGGAGAAATCATAGAGTTTGCGGAACTCTACTCAGTCAAGTACTGTAGCTCCAAACATGTTAGGGGGGGAAAGCTTCAGACTATTTAAGATCTGTTTTTCATTCTTAAAAAGTTTTAGTGTTATTTAAAGATAAGTTAAATAAAGCAACTCAAAATTATAATTTTATTTTAAATAAAGTAATTGCAACTTGTTTTTCCATGCATGCAAAGAAAGACTAAGCAAAAATGGTTTGAAAATGCAATAATCAAGATAAGAATTAACAGAATTAAATTTTGATTAAATTAAATAATTCACATAATTTTGCATTCTTATTTATCTTTGAATTAATCAAGTTAAACTACATATGTGTATGCATTTTGTGTTATTATAGTTAAATACCTTCCTTTGAATTCAGTGTAATGCATGCTCTTCTTCAAGCTAATTGTTTAAGTGATTATTTGACAGCTTTCCTTTATATTTGAATATATATTAGAATTTGATTTTTGCTTAAGACATTGCAACAATTCTGCATGCTCACAAAAAAGACTTTAGTATCTGGGCTTGGACTTTAGCATTTGCACTTAGGACATAATTTTAGTGGTTCCTTAAGTACTTGCAATGAAACTATATGTCTGACAGTGGGAAACATGGCACTTTCAACTTCCAATTCTTTTCTTTTACAAGATGCCATTTAGCATTAAAGCATAAATTTAGGCATAAAATCTAACTAGAACGCAAACCTAACAATATATACCTTCAAGCAAAAGCAGACTTTTTTTAATTAAATCCAGATAAAAAAATTAATAAATGAAAAAGAAATATAAAAGTAGGAAATAGATTTTCCCACACATATTTCTGATTAGACAGGTTGCATAAAGCTGCCTGTTTTACTTGATATTGCAAAAAATATTTGCATCTTCTGATACCACATAAATTCAATTATGTAAGAATCTAGAGATGGAGAACAATGCCTTGCTGACATTGATTTCTTTATTCCTCACAACCAATCAACAGTCTCTTTCTTTTCTTTAAAGAAAGGGAAAAAAAAAAAAATCAGAATTTGGAAAAAAAGCAACTCAAAATTTAGGAGAGAAAAGGACTGAATTGATGTTCTTTGTGTATTTATTTACATTGACATCATTGTTTAAACAAGCTACCAAATTTTACATTTTGACTCAGAATTACAGCTCGTGTCTTGCTAACTGAAAAGAATTCAAATTAGTTTTGAAAGTTGATACTACTACTGTAACCTATTATAAAAATTAAATAGAAGATCATTGCTTTATTGTAAGTTATCAAAATATTTTCTACATCTGTAACAGAGGTATGAAGCAAAATTGACGATTAGCTCTCTCTTTTGACAGTAGGCACAGTATCATAATGAGTTAGAAAAATAACTATTTTTTAGCCTAAAAGTGCTAACTGTGTTAGAAATTTTTATAAAAAAATTGAAGGTAGGTTAGTTTGAAGAGGCTCTGGTGTTTAATGCATAGGATTACTAATGGAAGTATGAGGATGTTATAAAACAAACAAAAGATCTTACACACACATACTATATTTTATTTTATTTTTTTATTTATTATAATTATTCATTAAATGTCCTTATGTAAAATTGGTCAATGATATGAGAAATAAGATATATAATTTAAGATGTCTACAGTTGTATACTAAATGTAAATCTATAAATGAATTGCAAAGTGTATTTGGATAGTTACTTTGCACCATATTGTGATTAAAATGATGTTTCATAAAATCAAATGCCTTTTCATTTCATATAACATCTACATTGAAATCTATCACAGTAATAGATTTCAATGTAGGCATTATTTCAATGTAGCTGTATCTACTGTAAACACTTCATTGGTCAATAAAATATTCTCAGAATATTTCATCAATGCACTAAACAAGAACATCTTCAAATTTCCTGAATTAACAGTTGGCTAAATATATGCGAATGCTAGAATAAATCTTGACTGTCCATTAACAATTATATCAACCATACAAATATCGCCTGCTTCTGTATCCTGTATTCTCTTACGCTGCTTAACAGTATATTCTCTTGGTACACAATCAGCTACTCCTGTCAAATTTCTATAAACAATAACATCACTACCTTAATAAAATAAAACAAAATACAGCAAACACCACCTAAACACACTGACTGTCTACCAGACAACCTTTCCCCTCACATGCAGTCACACAACTGCACGAAGCTTTGACTTCACAAAAACTTCACTATTCTTAATGCATTACTTTGTCCAATTTAAAAATTTGTATGTTTGCTAATGTGGTCTTTTAACTATCTAATGATGTAGTTAAATTGATTGTAACATTTTTAGTTTTGAAGATATAAGCAATTGCGCACACCTCAAAATAGTATCTTCATTTTTGCTTTCCCATCAGACCATTATAAAGGAATGTAATCCTATATTAAAAGGAGTTTAGCCCTTTATTTAAAAAACATTAAGACCATATTTCCATATTTTTCATTCAGATATTCAGTCATTTTGCTATTATACTATTTATAGTAAATATATCAAGTTTATATTAGTGAATATAAAATTCTGTGTTTGAAAAATGGCATACAGCTGAAGTGATGATATGTTAAATGCTTAATTCTCTTGAAAAAAATTCATTTTTATAATAAACATGCATACTTTTTTATAGGTAAACGTCCTCCCTTAATCCAGGGTTGTCCCAAGCCTCTTGAAAGCCTGATGACAAGGTGATGTTTCAAAGCTATTTTCGGTTTCTAAATTCTAATCTTAGTCAAAATATGTCTGTGTTCAAAATATTCATGAAAAATTTTCATAAGGCAGTTATGTTTGAGATGTAAGAGATTGTTATTTTGTTGCCTTCAACTGGTCCAGGAAACTAGATAATTATTGCCATGGTAACACGTACCACTAACTTCATTCTGGTCATTTCCGAAAACAATGGTAGAATGCATTTTATGGTATCATTATGTTGGCCATTATGTTATTCTGTATATTTGAACAATCTGTTACATTCATTTCATTTGCTTAGAATCAAAGCCTTAATTTTCTGGTGATGGTATTTTAATTGAAAGATAGGTCTTGGATTTAGGGATATGTACATTTTTATATATATAGCTACATTACAGTGTACTAAAAGAAAATACGGTTCATATTTTCATAGCAACCATCTCCCTATTATGTCCCCTAGTCAAAAGTGACTTGTATTTGTGAACATAAGCAAATGTCAACATCGAGTATCCCTTCTCTAAGATGATCACCTCTACAGAAGAAAATATAATCTGGTTAGTTAGTTATCTTAAAGAAGATTCACTCACTAAGATAATGATTTGCAATTCAATACCATGGTGAATTTTCAGTTTTACATATTATCTGACATCAAAGTCTTAATGTGTAGACACTACAACATATATTGGGAACAGAATGGGACATAACAAAATACGGTGATAGGCATTAAATTATTCAAAATAAAATAAATTCAGAACTAGTTTTGGAACTACTCTTATACATGCACTCGGCTGGTGACAAATTTCTCGCCAAACATTTTTGGCAAGATTCTCCATGGTGCCATATTACTATCTCAATTTTGTGTCTACATTCCAAGCTTCAAGCTTAAAATGTCTACAAAAAACATGTTTTTAACACACAATTTAGATAGCAAAAACGTAAAGTTTCTAACCAAAATATTTGACAAGAATCCATGTACACAACGATTTGTTTTAACTTAAAAAAACATCAGAGAATTTCACAATCTGTGCAGCGTAGGAATCTAAGAATTACGGACACCTCACTAAAATAAAGTAACATAACAACAATAAATTTCAAACAATACCATGTACACAGCATTCTGTTTTAACTTAAAAAACATCAGCGGATTGCACAATCTGTATTGTGCACAGCCTTGGCATTACACATAAATCAACAAAATAAACTAAAATACAAAGAATTCAAAAAACAACAATAATGACAGAAATTCATAACAAAAAAACAATGAACATAACATTCTACAAAATAAGAACAACAATAAAATAAAATGCACTCACCATTGTAAATGTTTCTTCAAACAGCATAAATATCAATTTCAAACATCATCAAAACTTATCAATTTCCACCACTTTGGCCTTCCCCCCTATCTTCTGAGACAGAGAGCATACATTCGTGAATAAAATTTCACCAGTCTCACAATGTCTGTGAATAAAAGTGCCACGATTTTGCAATATTGCATGTCTTTCTACGATTCAAAATTTCGAAAGTAGCGATAAAAACTTCCTCCAAAGTTAAATTTACTACATGAAAACCAGGATCCAAATCTTAAACTTCACTGACAGCCACATACTTTACCTGCAATCATTTGCCTGCAAACCCACACAAGTCAATCAGAAATGCCATTCTTTGTATGAGTTCTCATATCAGTTCCGCATTTGAAACAACCACTCCAGCAAAATAATGTTTAAACTTCAAAAGGGTTGCCATAAAATCATCGCAGAACACACAATTGTGCCAAAAACCAGCGCAGAACACATATCGCCACATTTGGCAACGCCAGACATCTGAGGGCGTATATAAGAGTAGTAGTGTACTAGTTTTATTAGTTTCATTCGTACTGCAGATAATAAAAAATAGTATCCTGAAATGAAAGTCCATAGCTACTAAACTTGTTAATTTTTGAAACTTGTAAGTAAAAGTGGGAAGTAGTAATTTTTAACTTTTGCATATAATTCGTAAAGTTTTGTGATTAAAAGCAGACACTGCTATTCTTTAAATAAAACAGTACCCACATAGCACAAAAACATCCTTGGGATATCCTGAGGATGTTGCTCGCGGGATATGCGCACATCCTCAGGACATCCCGGAATATCCTGCGAACCTCCTAAACACCTCCTCCCGAGTGCTTAATGTCACATCCCAGGATATCCTCAGGACATCCTAACTAAGTCCCATTGACAGTGTGCGGGATGTTATTAGGATATGAACTCCTACTTACTGCATCCTCAGGACATCCCGGGATATCCCACTAACTTCCTAAACACATCCCATTATATCCTAAAAACATCCTATCTATGTCCCATTGACAGCGTATGGGATGTTATTAGGATTTAAAGTCCTACTTACTACATCCTCAGGACATCCCGTAATAACCCAGTTTCCTCCTAAACTCATCCTCCCGAGTGCTTAATGTCACATCCCAGTATATCCTTAGGACATCCTATCTAGGTCCTACCGACAGCGTATGGGATGTTATCAGGATTTGAAATACTAGTTACAATATCCCTTTAACCTCTTAAATACATACTCTCAACTGCTTAATGTTACATCCCAGTATATCCCAGAAATCTTCTTTATATTCCAGTGAAAGTGTGTGAAGGTGTTGTGATAACCTGAAACTTGCTTATTTTCCACAGACAGTCTCAGGTCCTCCATCTGTGGTTACTATGGAAAAATAAGAAATTTTAAGAATATTTATACAATTTATTTTCTAATTTGAATTTCAATTTATTTAATAATTTGTAAATATATATAAAACTGAGCAAGAAGACTTGAAATGAATTATTAATACAAAATATTATAAGAGAAAATTTTGCTTTTAAAATATTAAAAATCTTTCGATCATTTTTAACCATTCAATAGCCCAAAACTGAATTCTTCGATATATTCATAATTAAATTATTGTACAAATTCAGTTCTGACTTCAGTTAATTTGTATTCAAAATTCAATAGTAAAATTAAGCATTCAATAACCTTTAAGTAGTGGACCAGATGTGTGTAAATTTTGAAATTCTGAACTTAAGTCGGTTACGTTGATTGAATCATTATTCATGGCTACAATATGATTAAACAATTCATGAGTTCGTCTTGCTATTTGCTGTAATGGAGCAGAAGATTTTCTAATCAATTTTTTTATAGAAGATATATAGCTTTCAAATTTAAATGCACTGTAATTATCTAACGGCCCAAACATTTTTACATCTTCGCAAATATGCAGTAGGCCGTGAACATTATGAGCAATATACTGTTTTTCATAATAAAGCTCAAAATTTACTACGAAGAGTTTTAATAGAGACTGTGCGTATTCATCAATTGCCGTCTGATTCTGTATTTTGCATAAGAGTCTAATCGAAATATGAAGTAGTAAAAAATTGATCATGTAGCTTTTTGTTAAATTTTAAAAAAAATAATAAATAAGTGGGCTAGTGTACAGTAAAAATTGACGGTATTCTGTAGCTTTCCAGTGTTTCAATTCTTTTAGAGTTGGTTCCTTGGTTTTCTTGCAAATTCAATTGGTACATAAGGCTTTAAAAACTGGTCATTTTTTAAAAAAAATTAGTTCAACATTTTTATGTGGTAATCGTGCTTGTAAGGTGCCTCCGCCTATCCTAATAGTAATCATTTTTTGTACTACTCCTAAGCACACAAGGGGCATAAAGTCTAACGGAATATTTATTAGTCCTATATTTGGAATATTCCTTAAAATGGGATAATCGTTTTGGTAATCGTCATCAGTCAGTTCTTCTTGAGACATAAAAAGTTCATATTTCGAATCACAGTTTGAAATGGAACTTAAAGAATATTTGCTAGAGCGAAAATTCGACACAGTCCTTTTTCATAATTAAATACTACTTCATCTTCTGACAAATCCGATAATATACGTTGATTTATTCTGCTGTAAATCTGTCTTTTAGATATCTGAGATATTTTTTTTTAGTTCTGATCATTTTTGTAGAATAAAGGAAACATTTAGAAACTTACTTTTCACACTCTGTCAATGTAACGCTTGCAAGCGTCAGCAAGTCAGTTCGTAACTGCAAGAGAATTTGGAACGACGGCTATTAACGTTTAGCAGAATAGCTGAATTCTGGAAATCAGAAAGTAAGTACGTGTACTTACTTTCTGATTTTTGATTTTGACTTTGGGGATTCTTCAAGGATATCACTATTACGGAGCAATTAAAACCGTTGGAGGCATTCTGCGTCCTTTGTTGTGAAGGGATGTTTCCCTTGTAGGGGGATACAAAAGAAGGGGAGGTCTGACACATAAATCTGCCACGTTAACAAAAGAGAAATCTTCTTGAGGCATACAGAAAAAGTGCTCAGAGCGGAGCTCGGTTTTTCAAAAGCTTTCATACTTTCATTCTGAGCGGAGCTCGGTTTTTCAAAAGCAAAGAAAATTTGAGAAGCAGTTTTACGGACAATGATAATGATGGAATCGAAACTTTAAGATTTTCAACTTCAATTGTTATTTAGAGTATAAAATAAAGTAATAAAACTGCTGAGTTTAAAGAACGCGTTTAATTTAAAAATTAAATCATTTTAATTTAAAGTTTGAACATCTATTTAATCCGTTATCTAATTTTGAGTTTTCATAACAAACATTTAACTTTGTGTTATATACCTTGAAGAAACGTGTTTTACTGCATTTTCTGGATGTTACAAATAAAATTAATAAAGCAGCAATTATTGTTAAATTATGAGGAGTCATGTAGCATTGTCGGCATAACGTATAAGACTGCAGAGCGCTGGATATATTTTTTTCGCGCTTTGTTTAGCAAAGACCGAATATTTGTATGGTTAAAGAGGTAGCAAAGTGAGGTTTGAGGAGAGTAAGAACTTAATGTTAGTTTCTTCCCATTCTCAAACCTTATTTTCCTATTACAGAGAGGTAAAAAATAAGTTACTTCTTACCTCAGTCGCTTTGAAAGAACTAATTCTCATTATTAAAGAACTTACCAGAAAATGAACGAAGAAACTGCAATGAATTTTTTAGCCCAATAAAATTATTCTTCTGTTTATAAATTCAAATTAAAGCAAGGTTAAACCTCGTACAGACTAGTTTTAACTGCGTCTGTAAACTAAAATTTCGTTTGTTAAAAAAATTATTGTTACTTATTACTGCACAGCACTAGTGTAACAGATCAAAAAGTATTTTTTTCTTTTGCCGTTTCAAAGTATAGTTATTTCTATGCTAAGAACTATCGATGAATTTAATAGAATACTTTTATAACTTGATATTTCTGATTAGTGCCTCAGAGACGAGTAAGTGAATATAGTGACTGATTGCCGTACAGAAGGGCTCAAGTTCGAATGCCATATAAGGCATGGATGCACATCATGCCCATCTGTTCATAGGATAAATGTCTTCGTAAAAGATTTTCTGAGTTAACCTGTAACGTAAGTAATATTTGTGTTCAAAGATATTAGAAAAGTATTTACAAAATATATTATGTAGCAATTAGAATTTAATCGTAAACACACTTTCAATATGAAACTCAAAACGGATGAAAACACGTGCCTGTAATTTGTAAGAAAGTACTCTGATCAATAGACACTGTGAAACAACAACAAAAATTTGAAAATATTATTACTTAATACTTACAGCCAACATATGCAAGACGAAAACCAGTGTAAGCATAACAATTAAATTTTCATATGCAGAATAGGTAATCCATAGAGTAAGATTTCGATTCTTATAACATGACTTGCGTGTGGTACAAGGTTACTTTAATATTTTCAGATATGAGCTTCCATAAAAAGTAAGTACTGAAGATATCTGAGAAACAACATCCTCAGGAGATCTTCATATATCCCGGGACATTACGACTTGAACAGGACATCCTTAAGATGTTGATGTACGAAGTCCTCAGGATATCTGAAAATCAACATCCTGAGGAGATCTTCATATATCCCAGGACATTGAGACTTGAATAGGATATCCTCAGGATGTTGACTTAAGAAGTCCTCAGGATATCTGAGAATCAACATCCTCAGGATATCCTAACTGCTTCCCCAGACAGTGCGACTTAAATATGATATCCTAAGGATGTCTTGTGTTATGGGGGTATAATGTAACATCCAGACTTCAATGAAGTGCTAGGTAAAATGTTTAAATAACAATTTTCAAAAGAATATGATTAAAAGTTTTACACAATTTCTGATATATATTTTAGCTGTTTCAATATATGGACTGTTAACATTATTTGACAATACTGTGAAATGTATTTATCTAGGTGTTGGGCCAAAAATGCTAAAGACAGGCCTGATATGATAGATGTACAAAGTGAACTTTCAGAAATATTTAAATATATGAAAGGTGCTGACCAACCAATTACATTATTACGCTCAGAAGGTTAGTTATTTGTATTATGTATTTCTTTATTCTTGAAGATGTCCAGTATTTGTATTTAACTGATCTTATATAGTGCTTATCATTTTCAAAAGGTGTCTGTTTCAACAGTGTGAGATTTTAATCTTAGTCAAAATAATATATTCCTTTAAAAATAGCATGTAAAATGTTAAAAATTTGTAAGATTAATGTTTTAAAACAATTATTCATTTCTCAGCGAAATTTACAGGTATTAAAAAAGGAGATGCTGTTTCACCAGTTGTATATTGTTGCATAAATATTTTTAATGTATTTTAAATGCATTTATGACCCAGAATCCACTAAAAAAATTCCTGTATTTTCTAATATGATGCAAAACTTTATAAAAGTGCATTATCTATTTTTAGGTAACAGTTTTTGTTTTGCTTGGTACAGTCAAAAGTCGTTAATTCGGACACCCATAATCCGGAATAATCTATAATCCGGACCTCAAAGCTACAAACTTTCTGTGCATGTGCGTAAGACTTTTACAGCTGCGAATATGCATGTGTGCATGCACATAATACGTTTACGCATGCACGTTTAATGTATAACGGACGGTATAAGCTAAGCTAAAATTATCTAATTCAGTTAATGTTGCAGATTGCGTTGTTCCTTAAACTTCAAATTGGATCCGGCTTATTATTTTTTTGCAGACTATTAGAGCAATTTTATAAAAGTAAGCTTAGAATTTCCCATATATATTTACTAATATGTAAAGGATCTACAAAGCGAAAGTAAGTTTCGAAGTCCATTAAACAAAAAGTGGAATTGCTGCAAAAAATTGATAAAGGCATATCCTTAGTTTCTCTAACCATTCCGAAATCTGTTTATCAATTTCACGCTGCTCTGTGGGGGGGGGCAATGAATTGGAAGTTGATCTCTCAGCACTATCCTTATCTTCAGGGCAGATGTTTTTATTTTATTTGGCTTATAATTCCTTACTAAATGTAGTATTTTATCTCGATGTACTCCGTGTTTGATATGATTTAAATCAAATTCCAAGTCATTATAATTCGCTTCCCATAATGAAGAAAGTGACACAGAGGTTATTGAAAACGGTTATTGAAATTAATCGGTATTCTCGATCATAATTGTTCTTTATTTCATAAATTACGGTTTCATATTTTTAATTTTATAATTTCTGCATGCCATCTTACTAGATTTAAACTGATGATCTATAATCTGGAAAAATTGATAATCCGGAATCGCCGAACACCCGATGAGTCCAGATTAACAACTTTTGACTGTATTAATATTGTTTCTTCTTTTTGGACTCATACTGTCACTTGATAGAAAATTTTTACGGTCAAAAGTCTTTAATCCGGACTCGTTGGAACTTCGGCGATTCCGGATTATCGGTTTTTCCGGATTATAGACCATCAGTTTAAATCTGGTAAGATGGCGTGCAGAAATTATAAAATTAAAAATATGAAACTGTACTTTATGAAATAAAGAGCAATTATGATCTAAAGGGTATCAAAATTTACAAAAAAAAAAAAAAAAAAAAGCTTTATATGTATTTGTTTATTTTATTAAACATTTCTTTCAACGCGCGCATTCATAAAGCATGCATTACGTATTGTTAAAATTAGAAAATTGCAACCAGAAAACTATTTGATGTGTATTCGTGATATTTATAATGACGAGGAATTTGATTTAAATCATATCAAAGGCGGAATACGTCGAGATGAAGTACTACATTTAGTAAGGAATTATGAGCCGAATAAAATAAAAATATCTGCCCTAAAGATAAGGATAGTGCTGACAGATCAACTTCCAGTTCATTGCGTGCCGCGATTCCTTTTTCCCCCCCCCCCCCAGAGCAGCATGAAATTGATAAACATATTTCGTAATGATTAGAGAATCAAAGGATATGCCTTTACCCATTTTTTGCAGCAATTCCACTTTTTGTTTGATGGACATCGAAACATGCTTTCATTTTGTATATGCTTTGGTAGCTCCAGAATTGGAAATTCTTTTTGACATAATCGAAAGTTCAAGCTTACTTTTATAAAATTGCTCTAACAGTCTGCAAAAAATAATAAGCCGGATCCAATTAGAAGATTAAGGAACAACACAATCTGCAACATTAACTGAAATAGATAATTGGATAATTTTAGCTTAGCTTATGCCGTCCGTTATACGTTAAACGAGCGTGCGTAAACGTATGTGCATGCGTTGCTGCATGCACAGAAAGTTTGTAGCTTTGAGGTCCAGATTATAGATCGTTCCGGATTAAAGACTTTTGACTGTAATTTTTTATTTTTGTTTGTTGAATAATAAATAGGTGAAAATGTAAAAATACAATCTTGATTAATAGGATTGACAATCTTGTATTGGTTTTATAGAAGTAAAAAAAATATTTTTATAAGAAAATACATTTGAATCTTTATTTTTTGAATGAATTAAAAAGAAGAAGCATCACTGTGGGTCAATGTCTAATTACCATTTTTTATAGGCTATAAATTGGTGTAAATTTAAGGTTGAATTATGGTTTGTTACTTTTTTAAGCATGGTGTTGCAACTATATTAGCATCAAATATAAGTGAAAGTTGATAATTTTCATTTTTTTTTAATCGTTCTCAAACTATTAATATTTATTGTAATTCCGAAAACATTATCAACATATGAAAAGAAATCATGCTTAAATTTAAAATACACATTTTTAATTATTAAATAAGGATTGTATGATGCATTAAAAAAAATAAAATACATTCTTCACTAACATTTTCTGCAATTTTTCATGCTGTTCAACCATCTGTTTTTACTTTAAAAAACTCACAGAACTGTGCAAACTTAGGCAACATGGACTAACTACCAAATGCATCTCATTTCTGTTCTCTTTGGTGATTTTATGACAAAATTCTGTATTCATGCAGATTTTTACTGCCTTTTCTCTCATTGTTGGCCACTCTCCCAAGCACATATTTTTAAAATTGATATTAAGGCAAAATATATAACGATTTGTCAATAAAATCTGTTGGAATCACAAATACAATAAAGAGAATGCATTTGAGAATGGTGATGTTGCTTAACAGAAAGGTTGTTATGAGCATGATTGCCTTAAGAATGGTTATGCGCGTGGTTGCCAGAGTTTGGCACATTCTAAAAATTTGACAACTTCTATTAAGGTGATTGTAATAATATGTAAGAACCGTTATTTCTAAGAAATTTTATGCTATTAATTCTGAAATTTTATTGCCATTTCAGAAACCAATACTACAGTAGAAACATCACCCTTGACAACACCTGCAGCAAAGAATGAAAACGGAGGTTCAAATTCCAAGACTGTACTGCCATGCAGGCTTGTAAGTGTATAAGCTATCTGTATAAAGTTTAAATCTTTATGATAAAAAGACGTAGTACAATTTCATATTGTGCTTCAAAACCTCTTCCAGATCAGTTACTAAAATATTGATTTATTTCAAGAATATTATCATCTTAAAATAGGAAAGAAGTTGAAAAAACATTTAACTTTCTGTTGCCTTTAAAACTGTCAATTGCAACAAGCCTTTCCTTATTCTCAATTTCAATCATATTCATTTATTGCATTACTTCAGCACTTTTTGCTGCTTGAGCAGCAAAGAATAACTTTTTGGTGATGTATTCTTGTCACATATGAAAAAGGATCTAATTACTTTAAATGCAAGCATGTTCTTCAATCAGTTTTTGAGTTTTGGGTTATACGTTATATTGATAGTGCGTATAGTATTGAGTAGTTTTAATTTGTTGCTTTGTAATAAATTATACTGAAACTCTGAGTGACTTAAATTCTAGAAAATATAAATTGATATCTTTAAAACATATCCCATCAAAATATGGAGATTCAACAATAGCTAACTTGGCAGCAGATGATGAAAAAAGAAATTATTATCTTAAAAGTGTTATATTCAACTTTCTGAAGAAGCACTTGAAGAAATAAATAGTGTAGATAATATTTTTAACTTCAAAAGAAAAGTTAATAAATGTTATGATTACAAATTGGAGAAAAAGTATACTTTATAAATGGATATCAGTTGTCAAGAAGTTTCAAGGATAGTTAAATTATCTGAAGGTTTGATTAGAAATTTTGAAAATGCTGTGAATTGGACTAGTATTTCAAAATATCAGATAATATCAGAGCTTTTGTATTAGAATATAAGCACAAAGCAGATTAGCATAATATTTATGCATATCAAAGATTATCTGAAAAATAAAATATCATCAAGAATGAGCATTTAATTCATTGAGTTATCCTTTCTAGATATTAGCTGAAAAGTTTATAATTGAAAATACTTCTAATGTGGATTGGGAAAAAAATTCAGAATTTCAAACTTTAAATTATAGTTTTGTTGTAGAGAACTCTGATAAATTAAGTATGACATTAGTGCATAGGTATAAACAATTATCCAAAAGTACTATAAAATGCTTGAAAGATGTTATAGATTGAAATGAAACACTTTCAAAACCTTTTGTAGTTAAGTATATAGTAAAATACAGGATTGTAACATTATTCTGAAAATGAATGGGGCACTAATCACTGAGTGGTAAAGTTGCTGAACACTGGTAGTCAGTGTGGGATCGGTCCATTTTCAGATTTTGGTGAATGGGCTGGTTTCATGGTTTTCCCCATGTGTAATGTGTATACGAGCTGGTTTCCCTTAGAAAGTCCTCCACGAAGGCATCTTTTCCCTTAGGCAGATAGCCCTCGAGTGTTTTGCCATAACGGAATAAACCAATCTGAAAACAGACATGTCAGAAGAAGTCATGAATTTTATATTCAAGAAAATGGTTTTAAATTATTTAGCTAAATTTTCAAAAATCTGAATTTTATTATTATGTTTAATTTAATTTATTCCAATTCTTATTTTTATGCCTTCTTTTTTATCATTCATCCAATTTTATATATTTTATAATTCTAACTCTCGTCCATTTTTACATTTTTTTTGATCTTCATCCATTAATTTTACCTTTTAAAAACATGACTTCAGCTACCATTAAAAACTCTCAAAATAAATTTTAATTTACATACATAGTATGTTTACATGTTTACATAGATTTTTTTTTTTTTTTTTTTTATGTTTCATGAGCCCTTTTCTATGTGTTTGCAAGGGCAAGAGACCTTTTGTTGCCACATTAAAAGGCTGAAGGAACCAAAAAAAATTATCATTTTTTTTTTATATGGTAGATAATTCCTCTTCAGAATTTTGAATTTTCAGTTTTGATTATCTTCAGTTTTTTTAAAGTTCTTTTCATTCTATTTTTCAAGTTTTGAGGATTTTCCTTTAATTGGCAATTTTTAATTTTTTGTATGCATAATGATTTTTCAAGTGAATTGACAGACTCTTTAGTTATGGCCGCAGTTGTACAAACACTACAAAAACACATCCAAGCATTAGAGTCCTGGATGACCAGATGGAAAATCAGAAGCTATTTACTTTACTAACAAGAAAAACATCAACCTGAAGATCGCTCTCAAAATGTATGATATCAGCATTCCCAAGCAAATTAAGTACCTTGGTTTCATTTTAGACCAAAGACTCACTTGGGCCCAACACGTAACATACACTTTAAATAAGTTTCAGGGTGCTAAAGCTTTACTCAATCCCTTAATTTCCCTAAACTCGAGTTTATCTAAGTCCTTAATTTTAATCATCTGAAATTTCTATCTGTTTTTACGACTACCATTTTGAGTGTGAGTTAGCATTTTGGAGGAATATTTTTGACGATTCACTGATGTATATGGTTATCTTTTGAATGGGTTCATGGGTTATAATTTGCTTCTATTTCTAATATAAATAATGGGATATTCGAGGTTCTAAGCAAGAAGGGAAACACAAGCATAGCGAAATTCATTTTTTCTAATAAAGAGCTCTTAAACAACTTTTCGCTTTTGGTGATGTGAACTCTTTTATTAAACGATTCTAAATTTGGCGACTTATCAACATTTTGGCGATTTTAAGATCAGTTTCTATAAAAAAAAAAAAAATTTAATTCCAAGATATAAGAATTTTTCAACTTTTTTTTCCCCCCATCGTAACATTGATAAGCTTCATTAAAATAATGGTAATATATTGAAATTATATTTAAAAAATAGTACTAAAATAAAACATTTTTATTGTTCGTTGTCATATTATAAAGTTTCATTTTGGCAACTTATTATACAACATTTTGAATCCAAAAAATAAACAAGGTATAAGGCTATAAAGCACAGTTTATGAAACAGCTCTTAGCAAAAGCAAAATTAGCTATGTAATTAATTAAAAATGTCTTCTTTTTAATTTTTTTCATAGTAAGCATTTTTCCCATGTAATGGTCTCAGAATATTTAGAATTCTCAGAATTTGCATCTGTTTTTACCTATAAAATTTATTTTACACTTTTCCCCCTCCCCCCTTTTTTCCCAAAATATTTCTGGCCTTTTGCTGTTACAGAATTGGTAGCGATAATTTTTCTTTAGGATTTTAGACATTGCAGCTTGGAAGGATTTGAAGGCAAGATTTATAGAGTCACAATTCTAGGAGATTCAAGAAATGTGTGTCAAAATGAGAACTGTCTCCATGGTATCAACAAGTAATGGATGCATTTTATAGAAAGTTTGCGATGAATTTCTTACTTTTCGGAGAACGTCTGGAAGAACAATCAAAACATAATATTTGAATGTTTTATACTCCTGATACTAGAATCTTTTTCTTAACATGTTTATTTTCCCTTTATTTTCTCTACTTTTCACTAGACACAAGCATGGAAAATATCAAAAATGCTTCTAATTTTATCACTTGGGCAGGTATTATAGAAGGAGATTTTTTATTAATAAAAAAATTGAAAACTTACAATTTAAAAGATTCATCTAATATGTCTTAATGCATCATACATAGAGATGGCACTAGGCATTTTTCCGCCTAATGCAATCTCTGTGGATCCTAATTCTGCTGATTAGTGCCTTTCTAAATTCTGCTTCCAATGCTTGCTCTAAATTCTAAAATTTTTGCTATTTCTAGATTTTGTTTTAACGGTGTGTCACTAAATTCTAAAAATTCCACCACACCAGCTCTGTAACCAACTTTTACCATATATATTTCATATTTCTTGTGAATGTTCATATTACTAAAGAAATAAAATGAGCCACTTTTTCTGTACATTCTAAATGCATTTAGTGTTTTTTAGAATAACAGAAATCCTGAATTAAATTCTAAAATGAAAAGAAAACAGCTGAAGAAAGAAACTGAAATAAAAAAACAAAAATTATTCTTCAAAGAGATGTGCAGTTATATTATTTAAATTACCCAATTTTATGATTTCAGCCTTACGATAATTTCCCCTTTCTATTTCTCATATGATAGAGAACTGTGCAGATTAAATTGAAATTAGATTGTATACTCTTTGACAACAGTCCATATTTTAGTTTGAATTAACGTTCTGTTATTACCTCACTGTGAGCTATAATTGATTTTGTTAGCATCAGAACATGTCTTTATGTTCTAAGTTGCTTATTTAAATCTTTATCTGATATTGTAGCTACTTTCAGACATAGTGATAGTTTGTTTGACATCTGTGGGGGGTTTTTGACTATTTAACTTTTCCCAGATCAAGTAAACCCTCATAGGTACATTGTGGAGAGATTGGCAAGTTAGGAGGTAAAGCACGTGGAAACTTGCAAGAGCATTGGTTTGCATGGTGAGACAAATCTGTAATTGTTAGAAAAGATGCTTAAAGAGAAAGAAATCGTTTATATACTAACCAAAATGTTTCGGAGGGCTTCAAATTAAAATGACGGATAAATATTTTGTTGAGTGTTGTTGTTACAAAACATAAATGTTTTGTAGCCTTTAATGTGTCCTAATATCATTTAAGAATCAATGTCATAAATAGCATGCATTTTAAACTGTGAAATTTTATTAGCTTTTGATTTTAATAGGGCATTTTTAATAAATTTTGTTAAAAAATAAAATTTAATAGTGGCTATGTAATTCCATAATGACTAAGGTTATCTAATTACCTAATAATTATCTAAAAATAGTTGTTTTTTATTATTTTAAGCAGTTATAAATAATCTAATTAATTATTTATAACTAACTGCTTAAAAGAATATAAAACAACGTATCACCTCTGGTGCTTTAATGGCTTATTGGAACCTTAAAGTATATTAACTGGGTTACAACCCTGGAACTCTACATGAAGCTACGACACTAACTGCGTCAAACAGAGCCTGACTAACTTTCAACACTTGGCAACTGTGCTTATATCAGGCCTTTCAGGTTTGTTCTTATCAGCAGGTCTCTAGAAAAGCAGCAGCGGTGACAATATTAGTCTTTTGGTATGAATCATGC